CGGGAGAAACCCGAAATCAGGACAGACATTTTCCCATTAATGCATTTTTCTCTTTTTGCATTCCGAGAAGGACAATTAAGTTAAAAATAGCAATAATACACAACCCTCCTCTCCACATGAACAAGTATTAAATTATGGTGGGTTTGTTGGGGTTTTTTTATTTTATTTTCCACTTGGAAAGCCAGAAATCAACTTGAATTCATGTAATGAGCTCCTGTTCCACATGAAAAAGCCTAACTGACCAGAAACAGGATAATCCATGCAGAAGGTAAAATGGAACAACCACAGGGCTGCAGTATTCTCTCAGCAGGAGCGTGGTCATCTAAGTGAAGACAACTCAGGTGAAGGGAAGATTGGTTTTAGTACCTGGCTCCAAGTTACGAACTTCCACAGACAGCTTGGAAGGAGAAATGTTATCAGCTGCAATCAGCCAGTCGCTGTTTCGACCCAAGCGTTTATACTCCACTTTAAAGGCAGTAATGGGGGAGCCACCGTTTGCTCGTGGTATCCACGTGACATAGACAGATGATTCCGATGCTGTGGAGATCGTGGGTCGGTCGGGAGCTTCTGGAACTGAAATAAGAAATTCAGTTACAAGAGGATTAGAGTCAGCCGAAATGTCAGTTTCTGCAGCAAGCGACTAAAGGAGTTGCTGGTGATTAAATTAGACTTCGTGTATTAACAAGGAGAATCTTAAATCCTCCTGTAGTAACTACTCCCCTTGCTCTGCTGGGAAAGATGCTTGAAGAGCAGGAAACAGAGGAATCAATTACTTGATCAATCTAATCATCAAAAAGGATGTGGTGTGGCACTGCCCCAACCCCCCTCTACAGGGCAACAGAAACACGTATGACATGAACAGGAAAAATTTGGGTATCATTTTCCAAATGCTGCAATCCCCCCAGACCCAATGAGACTTCGACCCACCCGCACTAACGAGCGCTGTGGCGCCAGGGGAGCGAGGACAAAGAGCAAACAAAGCATGCAAGGAACGATGTACTTACTGAACTCACTTGAAGTTACAGACAGCAGTGGAACAGAGAGAACGGAAAGAGGTGGTGTTAGTAAATCCGGCGGTAACCGCTCTGATTGACCGAGGGGAGCTGTGAGGCTCTACTAAACTAGCTTGTATGCATTCACACGGAGCCGGTCGCTGGTGAGAGGGGGAACCGAGCACAAAACAGCAAGCTGGCAGCTTTGGGGGCCACGAAGCAGGCTGAGCATTCGCAGCTGGGCACGCGCGAGGTGTCCCCTCCTGTCCCGGCTCCTCCGATATTTAGCGCTATCACAAGCCGGCAACGCTCATTAATAAACCTCTCCACTCCGCTTTGGTTTTTACCCAAACTTTAGACACCAAATCACCTTTGAGGCCTCAGCCCCTGAGTAAATTTGCCTGCACCAGGGCAATGAGCTCAAAGGCTGGGGTGATGAGGAAAAGGACTCTAAACATGCTGTTTTCACTGGAAACCAGGCTAAAAATCACACCTACTGGGAAGCGGTTGTTTCTTCTTGCCATCAGAAACAAGCCCATCCCTGGGAAGCCACAGGAAAACATTCAGAACAGATATAATCCACTGTGAGAACTTAAAACTCTGACACAGCCATTTCCCATTTCCCCCTCTTCCCCTGGATCTCTCACTGTGGAAGAGAAAACCAGAGTACTTAGCGAAAAGCAACCGCAGGTTTAAAAACGAGCGGCAAGGACGCGGGTTACAGGTGAAAGACATCTCATTTTCTGCGAGCCACGCATGCAGGTAACGGCATCCTTTGAAATATTGTACGTTCACTAGTTCAAGGCATGCATCTGCTAAATTCATCGCTTCAAGTTCCCCACCACAGGCGCCGAAGCCTGTAAGAAACGCACTGCTTACTACCTGGTGACTTGACTTTGCTGTGGAAAGCTGAGGTATCGAGGCAGGTACTGGAAATGCTAACTCACTGCCTGGAATAAGGCAACCTTTCCGTTAATCCCAGAAGCATGAACTACGATTTTTTACTCTGCAAACATGCAGAAGAACAGAAAATCTGGCAGATATCCAACCTCACTCACAGAAGTCCCACAAGAGGGGAAAAAATACGTGTATCGAAGAGGCCTAAGGAATAAATAGGAAATAAAGGAGGGACTACAAGCACTCAGAGCAGGAACAAACACAGGTTGACTTCGATGCATCTGTCTGCAATAGGACATGGATTACAAACAACCCGGACACCTACCTCCGCTGTGTCGAGACAGCTCTGGAAGCACAACACCAAAATTGTTTGTCCCTTCGTGAATGACGGGATGTTTAGGAATGCCTACTGGCGGAGATGGAGCCTGAGTGTTTTTTGAGGAAGATGTTCTTTCTGAAAAGAAAAAAAAAAAAAAAATATTCAATAGTGCACCAGCTCAGGGATGGGCTGAGAAAACGCTGTTCATTGCCCCTCACAATATGCTCACTCCACAAGATCACTTGCTATGGCGCAGGGGACGAAGCCCCGGCTCTAAATCACAAGGTAAAGAGCCAGGACAGCAATTAGGGAGTTTCTTCAGGGCAGCAAGAGAGAAGACATCCCCCATCAGCCCAGGGACTCGTGTACTAGCGTCTGCAGTACCGCACTTCTCAGCGATGCTGCCGGCTCCCGCCTGGGTTTCAAAGCCCTCTCTTATCAGGAAATCACAACAAGTGGTGAAAACTGCACACCAAAATCCTCAAAAAAAGGGAAAGAGGTTCAATAAAAACGCCATGGAAGCTGGGTTTGGCCACAGCTGGACCCAGGAATCCAGGCTGAGCAGACATTTAGGCTGTGGCAGTACGTATGTATCAGGAATTCACAGATTTCATCAATACATTACACTCCAAATACAATTTTAAGCTCTCTGGTTCTTGTACAGAAGTATGGAGAATTTGTTTGTGTGCTTGAGTACAGCCACCAATATCCAGGCTTGAAAGAAAAAAAAAAAAAAGGCTTTGATTAGAAATGCTCTTTTGCTTGTCTCCGTCTGCACGCAACTATCAAACCAGCTGGCTTCTGGTCAGCTGAGATATTTTCACCGAGGTGTCTGCAAAGCAAACCAGAGGCAGTTTTGTCGAGATATGAAAGCTCGATGGTGCAGAGAGTTTCTTTTGTGGTACTCTGAAAAACCTGAACAAGGACAGGCTGGCTCCCTGACTTAGCTCCTTTAAGCAAGAGGAACCTTACAGAATAAATCTTAATAATCATCCCAAAAATAACATTATCAACCTTTTAATAGCTTTTACTTACCAACAGCCCTGGTAATGCTCAGGGAAGTTTGCCCCACAGCTATTTCAGTTATTAGAGGCTGTTCTTTAGCAATTAAATTGCCCAGCATTTCATATACGGCTTCGCAGACGACATGCAGTTGATGTAATTTAAACAAATGTCCTCTCGAAAGCCTAGGACACAGGGAACATTGTGCTGCGCCTACCTTTGCTGGTGCGAAATGTCAGCATGGCGGGCTGGCCCTCGCCAGCAGCACTCCTCGCCACCATTAAAACCTCGTAGAGGCTGGAAGGCTCCAGCTCGGTGAGGCGCAGCTCGTTCTCGCTGCCAGGGACACGCACCGTGTGCCAGCTCCCCGCTGCACTGACGCCGTCGTCCAGCTGCACGGGACAGGGAGAGAAAGCTCAACATCATTGCCCAGAACCCAACGTAACGCTCAAATCCCTCGGCGCTTCCACGCACGAGCACCCAAAGGACCTCTGCCACGTGCCAAAACTCCTTATCTTTTCCTCCATCCACCTATGGTTTGTCTCCAAGCGCTCCTGCCACAAATCAGCACTTTTGCAGCTACCTTCACAGCGCTCCTTCGATAAACTTGGCTTATTTTCCCTCTCCATCCACACGCGCGCACTTGTTTTCGGAAAAAACCAGTCATTTACACTCATGGCTCAAACTAGCAAGAGACCAACCAATTTTAAAAGACTTCAATCAGCCTTTCACTATGTGTGTGACATTAAAGGGCTGGACCCAGCACCCTTAATGAGAAAGATATGTTCCCTGAAGTATCCCAGCATTTTAAAATATTTATTGGCTAAAATGGGCAACAAAAAGTATGTCTTAGTTACTTCTCAAGGCTGGAGAAAAAAAAAAAAAAAAAAAAAAAAAAAAAAGTCAGCAGGGAGACCAAAGATTTGTTTTTTATTAATGCATGTTTCCTATTTATTTTTTTTTAATAAAAACCCCCTTTCTAATAGTGAAATCACCAGCTCCATTTACGAAAGGCAAGAGATGCGGGGTAGTCTCTTAATGCTTGACCTTTGCAGGAAAACATTACCCCAAATCCCAAAGGAAAAGACAAAGATTCTACCAAAAATAAACTACTAAACAATATAAGACTTTAATAAAACATGGAAGGCAGCTCTGAACGCTGTGGATTATCAAAGGTTACGTCCGAGGTCTTTGTTCAAGCGTTTTCTTCTGAAGCGACCACTCTCCTCAGGCTTTTATTCCCCCAATTATTTTTTTTTTTCTCCTCTAAAAAGAGGGGAATCAATAATTTAAAGGCACAAAGAGACCACCACCCTCCAAAAGCCTGGTAAACTCCCTGCCGAGAAACGCACGAGCGAGTGCATTTAGCGTGGAAAGGGTTGTTAGGAGCGAAGGGGAAGCATCAAAAAGGCCACAGAAGCATTGAAAGCTTTCCGTGCCCGTGTGAACCAACCGCCTCTGGATGAGAAATTGTATCAACAGACTTTGGCACGAGGTTTTCAGGAACTAACAGGTCAAAAATCTAAGTGTTCGCTCCAGGCTAAGACAAGATCAGGATGTAGAGGATTAAAAAGCTTATGAAAAATAAACCAAACAGCTTTGCCACGCAGGAAACTGTTTGCTTGGAAGAACGGGCACGGGCATTGCTTGGTTCTGATTTCAATCAGAGGAGCTCACGGTTGACACCTCATTTTTAAGGACATGGTAGGTACCTGCTCAGGAAACTTTAGCTCGCCTCTGTATTTGGTAACTTCAGTTTATTTGTCTCTCTTCGGGCCGTGGAGCAGCAAACTCTCCGACACATTACGCTAATACTCAGCTTCCCTTCTGTGCACCCAACAGATTCAAGCTTGCTCACGCGGATGCATTTTGAACGTCACTGAAGTTGTGGACAGTACAGGCCCTGGGGCCTCATTCCCCACAGACCATAATGATTCCGTAAAGGACATAAAAGCCCGGGCTCTGCCGAATAAACCTCACTTAGAACTAGACAGAACAGCGTACTTGTGACCAACTGCAACCACCCTTAAAATGAGCTGCCTGTGCGGCCACGGTAGCGCTGTGGTCCGACTCCCTCCTCTCTGGCCTGCCACCACCTTCTCGTTCATGCCAGCGCTGCAACAATCGCCGGTTCCTTGAGAAACCGAAACCAATAAAACCCATCTGCCGCGGCGCACTGCTTCAAGGCTTAGGGAGAAACGTTACCTTGCGGTATTTGACAAAATAGGCATTGATGGGCAAGCCCCCATCCCTCCCCGAGCGCCACACCAGGTTGTACATGTCCGGCTTCAGCGTCTGCGGGGGGCTGAGGATGATGGGGGCTTCGGGGGGAGCGGCCGCATTCGAGGCTTTTTCCGTCGCAGCTGCACCCAAACGCAATTTTGTTGGAGGCGAGCTTGCAAACGCCATTTCCGCACCGAAATCACCGCCGCTTTCATCGCTCTGGGCAATCTCCACGGGAGCCATTTCTTCTGCTTTCGTGCCAGCTTCTAAGGGAGCTGTAAAGGGAGGAGTCTGGTTACATCTTCGAGATGACGTGCGTCTGCCCCGCGCAGAGGGGACACTAAATCATGTACGAGCGTCATTTCCAAACAAGCCCTGCTGCAAAAAGCCAGCCCCAGAGATGCCCGCGCAGACCCGAGCCCGCCGCCGAGCTGCACCCTTGCGCGACGCTTGTTTTTTCTGGGCAGGACAGTGGTTTTCGGGTTGGTTTTTTGGTTGTTTGGGTTTGGGTTTGGTTTTTTTCACAGTAGCAAAGACAGAAAACCTGAAAGGCAACGTCTGCAGGCACGGTTTGCCCAGTATCTCCAATAAATTAAGTAGTGGCAATGCACGTTAAAAGCAAAAAACCCATAAAATATATAGCTACACTTGCAACACAAACGGAGTAATTTTAAATTAATCGCAGTTGTACAAGGAACTTTTCATGGCCCGAACTGGCGTGCACACAAGAGGACATTCTCCTACCTCAGTTTCTGAGGTTTTAGCTGTAATTTCGATCAGCTTTGAAAGTCGCATGACTCGACTGCTTCATTTGAAAATTTATGCTGAGAATAAACCCAGTTTACAGGCAGATCTAACATGCAATTTAATACCAACACATTTCTAGCAATCCCGCTCCAGCCTCCTCCATCCTATTTACTTTGCCTGGTATAAAAAAAAATAGTGTGTGTATATCTATCTATCTATATATTTATCTCTATCTCACATCAGTAGCCTGAAAGAGGCCACGAGACAAACTGCCCCCCCCCAGTTTGGCCGATGCAGGGCTCGTCAGCGTTCCAGGAAGGAAAGGGGTGGCAGGTTGGCCATCTGAGATTATGCAGGACGAGCAAATGTCGGTGCTCAAAACGAGAACGTTTGGGGGCCAGCGCAGCTCCTCAAGGTTGCACGCTGCAGCGCCGGGACTGCCAGATGTTCTCAGCCCTGTCCGTCCTTTCAGATTTGTGTTAGGTTTATGTTAGGTGCCGGGGTCTGGAAGGGGAAGGGAACGAAGGGAACTTGGTTTACAAAACAAACAAATTCCTTGGTAATGTAAAGCCTAGGCAGCGTTAGCCTGGCTGACTCGGATTCCTCCAAACCTCCATTAAAATACCAGCAGCAAGTGTGGCTGCTATTTTTGGCCACTTTTTAAAAAGCTGGGAAGGAAAGTTCTCCTTTCAAATTGAAGACACGCTCTCAGCAAGCATTCCTTGTTTGTTTCTTCCTATTTATTTAGCAATGCCACAAAATTCGGAGACAGGAAGAAGGGAACGAGGCGGGGAGGACGTCCCCAAAGCCAGATGGAGTTTGCTTAAAACGCCAGACGCCCCCAGAGCCATCTCCAAGCGAAAGGGTATCTGCTACTGTCAGCGAAGCGGTGGGAAAGGGATGCACCGCCGCGCGTTAATATTGGAAACAAATGCTGTCTCGGCTCGAGGAGGCAGAAGGCCCAGGGCTTTGGGGTGGACCCGGAGGATTTGTGGGTGGGCACGGCTCGGTTTGACGCCTGCTGGCATGGGGGAAACGGACTCTCGCGCGGGGAGAATTAAGTTGTGGTTTAGGCTGGTGACAGGAGACCTGCAGTCATTGCTGTGTTTATTGCCGCGAGAGGGGAGTCGTCTCAACAACTGGCAAGTAGCTGGTATTTTTGCTTTGGAAAACAACCCCCGGGTAACAATTTCCATTAAGCAATTCGGATCTAAGCTCTTTTTGCTAAGTTTCTGGCATAATTGCTACCCATACAAACCAGCGCATCAGACCGCTCTTTGCTGCTGTGTCATTACGCAACTTTTTTCGGCTGTTGCTTTTAGTGCCATCCCTTTCCCCTTAGCCACCGAGACTTGCTCCTCTTCCTCACCTTCCCAGCCCCACTGCAAAACATGAGCAGCACCAGCACCCAAAATCCTGCCTTCGACAGCAACCAGAGAAGGACCGAATGTCCCCAATTTGGGCATTAAAAGAATGTATTCACAGCTTTTACTCACATTCTCCATAACAACCAGTATTTTACAGCTCGCTGTCGCGTCTCCCCTTCGGCTGCCTCATTCTGAAGGTAAAGACCCCTCAGGCTTTTCGGCCTCTCCTCCTGCAGAAGTGATTCCACACCACTACGAACCCACCCGCCGTGTTTCCCAGCACCTTTCCTAGTTCTCCTACACCCTTCTTGAAACAGGGGTGCAAACACGCAAGCGGATTCCAACCCACTGGCGTGCCCTGGGTTTGCACGGCAGCAGAGCAACCTTGGTATTTTGTCTCCGCTGGGCAAACAGGTCGCGTTCCCAGGCGTTGCCTCCCTGCTTCTTAAACAACCGGAGGACCCTCCCTCCGTGCGAGCTCTCCAAGTCCCCCAAGCACAGGCTGGGAAAGCAGCAGATCAGTCACCCGCGCCTGGTAACCCTTTCGAATCACCCTGAGCCTTCTCAGAGGCGCCCGGCTGCTATCAGGGACAGCTTCAGCTCCCGCCGTGCCACCCACCTACCGACGACAAACGC